TGTTTGGATGGTTGTTATATATCGTTTCATAATATATTGTATCGTACTGTATTGTATTGTATTATATCGTTTGATAAATATAATGTTTGGATAGATTGTATCGTTTGCCATCGTTTCATAATATCACGCACCAGCAATATGATGAATAAACTCGCAATATTATAAAGAAAAATTATAATACAGGGTAAACTTATTATATAAAAAGTAGGGTAAATGATAAAATAAAATTATTTAATATAATAATGAAGGGTGAGATTGAGAGAAAAAGACAAGGTAACGACGCAACCACACCAAATCGATCGTTACATAAAGTGACACATTTCGTCGTTACTTTAACGATACGATATAATAAAATTTAAGTAACAATCAAAACAAACATCGTATTTATAGTAACAATACGATACAATACCATGGATAACAACCATCCAAACCAAGGTGTAAGTGATTGGATTAAAGAAGGAGGAGCACACAATTGCATTCCACAAAAATAGCTACTTCATGATCCTTTCAGATACCCGCCAGCTGTCCGCCGATAAAAAAAAATTAAGGAAAAAATTAAGAATTTTTGGATAAAAGTAGGAATTAAATGCACAAATTAACAAATATTTCTTCTGTTTCCTTACTTGTCTAATATACTAACACTAGATTTTTTTTTTTGGGTCTTTGCAAATCAAATAGAATTAATAATTTTTTTAATTTTATCCTTATAATTAATTAACCAATTACCAAACTTGTTGGAGTACCAGTAGTCAAATTAGGATTTTTAAAAGCCATTTGTTGGCAATTATATTTTATTAAATTTAAATTCATAAGAAATTTGGATTTATTCTCAAATATATTTTGTCCAAACAAATATTTTGAGCTAATATAACTGGATTAATTATATAAGTCATATATATATATATAGACTAAATAAATAAGGCCAAGTCCACTGGGCTACAAATAATTAGCCCACTTTATTAAACCCAAGATGTCATTTTCCTAGAGGTCCAGTTTGATGCCAAGTGTCAAATGACGTGACACGACAAGTCAAACGGAAGAGCCAATGAGATCATGCCACGTGTCAAAATGACAAGGTATGCCAGGTCAAATTAAAAGGCCAAAATAACTGCGCCACATGTGTATGTGATATATTCTGGCCAATCAAATCGGCCTTGTCACGCTTCAATCTGATTGGTCGGAAAGAGTTTGTGCTCATCACAACTCTTCCCTCCCACAACTATAAATAGGGATCTTCATAACTCTTTGATCTCCAGAAATTATAACAAAAAGCAAGAAAGAGCTCGTGGATCAAATGTCGCAAATTCCTCCACGTTTCAAACTTCAAGCAATCAAGTTCAAGTGCAAGCTCAAGAACGAAGAATAAATCAAGATTCAAGGAGTACGAGTTCAAATCAAAGTTCGTGCTAGTTGAATTCAAGATCATCATTCGTGGCAACAAATTCAAATTCAAGATCAAGCTCAAATTCCTTTGAATTTATATTGGAAAAGTAGAATAAGAAGATTTATCGAGAGTGTAACACTTAAATATTTGAAATCAAATACTACAATTGTTACAATATTTTTCGATCATGATTTTATTTTGTCGACACAAATTTATTATCTACACTATTAACATGGATAATTTAGCTAGTAAGACTTTCACTTAATTAATGGGAATGCAAGATGAAAAGTGGACAAATAAAAGGAAACGAAAGGAGTGGCTTAAGCAATTATTGTATCAAATAGCGTCCGTCGTTATTAAGCTCACAAGGAATATGCTACCAATTGGCCCGAGAAAAAACAATATTAACACTAAGTCTGCAGTTAAAATTGAGTAATGCGGATTATACCAATAATTGAGAGCTAAACGCAATAGGAGATGAGACCTCAAGGTTTTTGTTTGGTGATACTTAACTTCCGCAATAATACTAGTACTAGCTAGTAACTTTAAACCATACAATTAATTGCCTTTGTGCAATATGCATCGTTCAGTCTTCCATGGCTATCCTGTTTCATGCTTGCTCCATCATAGCGATATCTAGGGTGTTCAAACCGAACCGGAAAATCGCACCAAACCGAAAAACCAAATCAAACCGATTAAAAAATTCGATTAGGTTTGGTTTGACTTGGTTTGGTATTGAATAAAAGAATCCGAACCAAACCGACATATAAATATATAAATTTTGTTTATATGTTTAAGAGTTTATAATGATTTTTCTTTAGAAAATATAGAAATATTTGGGATCCTCTCATGTAATAACCCTTAAAGCGTAAACTAACGAAAAATTATTGTTAGACGACTAAGAAAATAACTATCATGTGCTACTAAAAAAATTCTCCTATTAGAATATTTTAATAGATCATATGTTTGTCAATTTTTTTCATATTTACTAAACATATATTCACTTATCAAAGATTTATATATAATTTTAACAAAGTAAGATTGAAGTAATATTCATGTAATAAAAAACCCGAAAACCCAAAAAATCCGACAAAACCGAACCAATCCAAACCGATATAGTTGGTTTGGTTTGGTTTTGGTAAAAATCGAATCAATCCGGTCCATGTACACCCCTAGTCACATCCTTATGGGCCAATCCTCTATGAAGAGGCGGATCCAAGATTTAAATTTTATGGGTTTAACTTTTAAGAGATTTTAGCATTGAATCTATTGTGGGTTCATATCTACTATTTTTGCAATTTTAATAAATTTTTACATATAATGTTACTCCGCGTTAAAAATTATAGGTTCAATTGAACCCGTTACTAGCACACATATAATGTTACTCCGCCTTTGATGCCAAATGCATGCATCTTGGTCACCTCACGACTCTCATGGCACATGCAGAATCGTCGATGTTTATAGGGAGGCATCACGAGTCACACCAAGCTGAAATTGATCTTATTATACCGTTAGTTTTTATTATTTAGACTAGCAAAGAGAGAAATAAATATACTATATTTTTGTCATAATCTTATAATTTTCAACTTTTGTGGTTCCAATTTGTAATTTTGTGTCTTTTCCTAGGCAGTTTACGTTAACCTTTTATTTTCTTTGCTTATTTTGGGGCTCGCAAGTAAAGGGAATTGTTGCTTTGGAGGCATTGGTGGAAATGAGTCACATGATCACATCCATGAGTGTGCTTTGAATAGTTTAGCATCGTTGCAAATATAATCATCACGAAAATATTTGCATGATTGATGATTCCTTTGCTGACCATGTCGTTTTCTCCAAATTAAGGCTCCCTTTGTCCATTAAAAAAAAGTGTTTGACCACAAGTTTTTGGAAATTTTTCGAAAATGATTTTTCCCCACTCATAAAATTGTAATATTTTTTCAAGTAAAATGTATGTCCAAATATAATTTCAAACTCCAAATACCATTTTCAACTTAATCCCAAATACTACTTTTTTTCAAACATTACAATTTTTATGTCCAAACGTGTATATGGTCGAAATCAAGTATGCCCGATTTCCCAAGCTCGAGGTGTCGCTTTAAGACCGAGTTCGGGTAAGGTCGAGTTCGAGCTCGATGGGCCAGACTCGAGCTCGAAGACAGAATGCAGTGCCCGAAATACACGAGGAACATCGGAGCCAAGCACGACCAGCTCCGAAATAGTACCGTTACAAGTTTGTTACGGAAGGACAAGATTCTCGCCACGTCCCCAAAATCATGGCGTAAATTTCAGAATAGATTTGTACGAATTAGTACAAATCCGTACCAGGCGGTTATACAACTGTCCAAATAAGATTCCTTACTGTAAATGGAAATGTACCTTATTTAGGGCTCCCCTCCTATATAAAAGGGACCCCAATCATTTGTAAAGATCATCTAATCATTGGCAAAGAATATACTATCTTACTTTTTCGTTCATTGTTCATCAGAATTGTCCTTTAGCTCTACTGCTCTTACGTTGCTATTCTTGCCTTATTGTCCTTAACCCATCTCGAGGCCACTGTGCTGGAGGTCAATATTGTCTAAGTTGCACTAGTTTGATTTATTTATTTCCTTCATCTACACTTTATATTTCTTGATTATTAATTGGTATTGAACTAAATCACGTATCTTTAAAACCACAAATCAAATTTAATTGTTACTCGTATTTTCGAGGTAAACAGTTTGGCGCCCACCGTGTGACTAAAGATAATAGTGATTATTTCTTTACTAATTCTCATAACACATACTATTTTTACACTTTTTCTTGTCAAGAATTTTTGATTTTCAAGCTGAAACATGTCTAGCTCACAAAATGCACCTGTTTATGACAATGAAGCTCTTGGGTTTCATGGAGAAAATAACAACATAGCTGCTCCAGGGGTCGATGTACCACGAATAAACCCTGGGGAAGTGCCAAATGTGGAACCAGTGAATGTTAATTTACACATTGCTTTGAATGCATATCTAGGCGCAGACCCCGGAGCAAATGTACGCAGGGAAGCCAAATCTGGTGGCCAAAGAACACAGGGTGTAGGAGATGGAGGAATCAGCCTCCAAGTGATATTCGAGATGCTACAAGCTCAACAGATTGCCATTGCTCGACTTCAAAGTCAGAATAAAACTCCAAGTGTATCCTAACTAGAAAATACTCGACGTGCTGAACCGGTGCCAGAAAGATCAAACGAAAATGGCTCGGGGGATGACCCCACCATTATGAGGATGCTCGAAGAACTCACCAAGAGGATCGAGTCCGGAGAAAAGAAGATTGAGGATAATGACAAAAAGGTAGAGACTTATAACTCCCGTATTGATCAAATACCGGGGGCAACCTCGGTCCTGAAAGGTTTGGACACCAAAAAGTTCATACAAAAGTCGTTCCCTTCGAGTGCGGCTCTAATGCCCATCCACAAGAAGTTTCGCATGCCCGATATACCCAAATATAACGGGACAACTGACCCTAATTGTCACGACCCATTTTCTAAACAAGCCGAGACCGACACTCGATCACTGAACCTGATCGAACGAACCATCTCTGCTTATTCAATCTATTATAGCTCCACACTTTATATGCAACAAAGCAATACTCTAACCAAATACTCTTGATTAATTGAAATATTTAAATAAACCAACTCCAAAACTTTATTCATTGTAACTACTGAATTATTGCTAAGTTATTATAAAATAACATATGAATCTCAACCCAATTACTATGTCTATGAAGCCTCTACTGATAAACTGACGCACTGCTCAGGACATGAGATTTCCTGGTCAGTTCTCTAGATAAACAAAGAAATAGCTAAATGAAAATGACTCTAAGAATACTCCACGAACAAAAGCGAAGCTCACCAATATCACTGGAAGGGAAGGAAGTCCTAACTCGTAACCTGTTCGCCTGCAAATCCGGTTCCTACGTTGTACCGCAGACCAACGTAGGTTCCCAAAAGAGAACGTCAGTACCATCCACTGTACTCAGTGAGTCTCAACAACAGGGGGAGAAACTTTAATAACATATACATTACGAGCAAAGGTTCTAAATGCATGTAAAACATAAAGCTTATAAGAATAATTCTAAAATAATTACATAATAGCAATTTATGAATATTCTAAAAGAAATTCTTCTCTTTTTCTTTCTTTAAAAAAAATTATACTTTGGGAGTTCCAACTATCCTGACTTAACTCCGTCTCAGTCACCGAGTGATCGGCACGGGTTCGATCCCAACCTGATCGAATAGGCCCAATCCACGAGGTGCCACTCGCTTCATGGTTCTCAGCGCTCATGTATCATACCTTAGCATGGCTAAGTAAATTCTCAGCAACGAGACCCTCGGCTCGTGTGCTCCCTACTTTGGCACAAGTAGTTTCAGGAAGTCAACGCCTTGGTCAGGACCCTCGGCCTGGACGATGAGCCCTTCTCAGAATAAAGGATACTCCCCAAAAATCTTTTCTTTCTAAAACTTCTTCTTGTGACTTTTCAAGTCTAAATCTTTTCTTTATAGAACATTATGTACATGCTCATATTGGTGTCCTTAAATGTAAAGCATGGCATAAGAATGAAATAAACATATAAAAATATTTCTAAAAATTCTTTCTTCTTCATAATTTTCAACATGAAAATAACATATAAGAATAACACAAAAATCTGAAAATATAAGCACATATAGCATAATAGATCATCTAAACTTTTGCTAGAACAATTCTAAATTAATGGGTACTCACTCGCTCTAATTAAATAAAGATAAACTCTTTTAAGCAATTCATCAAACACCTTGTATGCGTGCTTTTGTGAGTTAAACCACTTTAGTAAAGGGTTATATCAACTCACCTCAAAATTTCTCGAGCCAATACGTAGGTCCCAGTCCAATTGATACCAGTCAAACAATCGATTCTACAACAACCAGTATATTTTAATCAGTTTTAAAGTACTACACCTAAATATGAAATTTATTGATGATATAAAGGAAGAAGGGAATTAACTACTCAATTCTTAGCTAATACTACTGTAGGGTAATTGACAATAAGAAATTTTATATACCTGAGTTCAAGGATTAGTGGTTTGTAAGGAACCCTTGAATTTTCTATTTCTCTGCTGCGTTAAAAAGCAGCGTTCTGTTTTTTTTGTTTTTTAGAAAAAGTGTTCTGTTTCTCTTTTGCTATAAGACTTTGTTTAAGTCTTATATTTCACAACCCTTTTGGGCTAGGTCACGTGCACCATTTTTTTTTTCTTTTTTTTCTTTTTTTTTTCTTTTTGTGTGTGTGCGTGTTAACTTAACTAATAATTAATGATACCCACTTTTAATAATTAATAACACTAAAATTATTAATATTTTCCTAATTGTATATTCAATTATTTAAGTGGGTGTGTGTATATATATTTATTCACTTTAGGCGAGAATAGTAATAACAATAATAATAGTCATAATAACTTAATTCAATAATTAGCGTATCTTGAAACTTTTATAAATTTAAGGAGTGTTACACTAATGAGCATATTACCTCATATACCTGCGGAATTAAAGGAAACGACCTGAATGATGATGATATAGAGTCAGTATCGTTGAAAACATTTAGGGAAACTTTGTCGAAAGGAGCTATGATTTGGTACCATAACTTGCCTCTGAACTCTATCAATTCATTTGCTATTTTAGCAGATGCCTTCGTGAAAGCACACGCCGGGGCCATAAAGGTAGCAATGAGGAAATCAGATGTCTTTAAGATAAAACAAAGGAACGACTAGATGTTAAGAGAGTTCGTGTCCAGGTTTCAGATGGAGCGAATTGGACTACCACCGGTATCAGATGACGTGGCAGTACAAGCTTTTATGCAGGGTTTGAATGAAAGGAGTTCGATTGCATCTCGATAATTAAAGCAGAACCTCATTGAGTATCTAGCTGTAACGTGGTCAGACATACATAACTGTTACATCTCGCATTTTCGTAGGTTAAAAGTTTCGTCTTCAGTTAATCGACGTAGACTCGGGGATGAGATTATATTGAAGTTAACGTAGTTATGCTAATTATAACAAGCGACAAGTAAGTGTCATGAAATATAAGGATACACGAATTAAAGAAAACGAGTTTCGTTGAAGGTTGCCGGTTTAGTAATAATAATAATAATAATAATACTAATAATAATAATAATAATAATAACAATAATAATAATAATAATAATAATAATAATAATAATAATAATAATAATAATAATAATACCCGATAATTATGGACTAGTACCATGCAAGGTACCATATGACCACAGTAGTATGATGTATAAAGTATATTAAAAATAAATAGAATTTTAAGTAATTTGAGATTTTTTTTAATTATGCGGGTAATTGGTTAATTATCGGGTAACGAGACATTACCTAATTAACTAATAAGTGGATAAAAATTAATAATTATCCCCAAAAGAAACTTGGCAGCTAGCCACATTGTAAGCAAATGACTAAGGGTCATATGTCTCTAGGTGTCAAACTAAGACTTAGCCAGTTTTATAAAAACTTTTGACAAGGCTTCCTTTCCATGTCTTAAATATAAAAGACAAAAATCAAAACATTAGTCATTCCTACAATTAGCACTTAGGATTGAGTAAGTGGTTAAGAGATTCTCCAAAAGCAAAACATACAATTCATGCAAAAATCTTCACTTCCAAACTAGATAGGTAGATGTCTATAGGTGCAAAGGCTTGTAAATATTGCCTGAATCCACCTATTCTTTCAGAAAATTTCGTGGTAATTGTTATGTATTATTCATAAGAGTATAACAATCTATGGACATCAAAAAGGTTATACACCATTAGGATCTTTAGTATGCATTGTATTTAGGAATTTTGGATGAAAGTTTTGCAATTAAATTCTCCTACAAGGTTCCAACAAGAATTTTATGAATCGTAGCAACATAAAATTTTGCGGGTCTAAAGGAGTACGGTGCAACATTTTCTAAGATCATTACACAGATTTTCCCCTACTACAGGTATGTTAAGGCCATCCTTTCTTTCTTTTTGGCATGATCCAAATTATACAGAAGAAACGAGTAAACACACAGTTTCCATAAATTACTATATTCATAGAAATACTAGGGGTGTCTATATTCTTGATTCCCCGTAGAAATTGCTCTTTTCATAGAAATACTAGGGGTGTCTATAATAAATTATTACATATTTCTCATGCATTTCACTCATTTATACATGTGCATTGACCCATGATCAGATGGAGTTATAATATATGTAAATATATGTATATGGGATATGGGAAAAGGTTACGGCGTTATATACGCACCACCACCTAATTAGTTGGTATGTGTTGATGATGTTGCCCATAGTCGCCAAGATAATATGGTGGGATGCCCTCACTGGCTTGATGATGTTATGTTTCCTTATATTTTTTAATACATATATATACTTTCAAAATAGCATATATGCATATATAAGCATGCATAAGCATTTTTTATAATTTTTCTATAATTTTAAAGGCTTCAAATTGATATATTTTTTCCTTTTTTACATATAAAGTTTCCAATAATTATCCTTCAAATTATTTTTGTGGTGATTTAGTCATCTAAATTCTATATTTATGCCAAAATATTGTTTAAATTTTAGGGCATTTTTTACAATTGCATTTATATTTTTAAGTTAATTAGCATATATTTGCAATACTAGCCCTATTAATGCATAATTACATTCTTAATACATAAAATGGTCTTTTATATTTTTAAAATGTTAAACAACTATTTTTAATCATTTTCGTACACGAAATATACTTGGGAAATTATTTTATTATTTTTATAAATTATATAGTACTGAAAATGGCTATTTAAAATCTAGCCTAATTTCATTTCAATTTAAGCCCCAATACCCAGCCTAATTTTTGATTAAATTACCTAAGCCCAATATCAGTCTGACCCTAACAAACCTACCCGACCCGACTCTTGTTGAATCCTGACCGTTGATCATTTTGATCAACGGTACAGATCTCCATTAGCTAAAATAAACTAACCTATACCCCCCTAAACCCTAACCATTTTTCACCTTACACCGCCGCCCTAAAATCCTCTCTGCTCTCAAACGCTCTCACTCTAACCCTAATCCCCAATCTTGCTGACCCCCATCTATGTCTATCTCCGGTAACCTCTCGCCACCTCTCAAGCCTCCAATGGCCTCTCTCCTGTCATGCTTGCCATCTCTAAGGCCCTCAAGAGACTAGAGCTATGTCGACTTGCATCTAGGGTTCATCTCTCGCCTTTTCCAGGCCATTCCGGTGTGATTTTGAGTGAGATCGTCCTATATTAGCCACGATCTATGATTTTCTAAACAGGTTTCTTCATCTCTGTATGGTTCTCTTTGAAACCCTAATTACTTTCCGAAAAACCTCCTAGATCTGTACAGATCTAAGGTGATTTGAGTTTGTTTCCTGTCAGTTTCGCAACAGCCTTGGGATTCTTTACAAGAATCGAGTAATTTTCAAGCGATTTTCATCTTTTCCTGAAACTAGGGCTTCCGAAATTTCTTTTAAAATTTGTTTGATGATGTTTTGTGTTTAAACTTCTGCTTCTCATATATTTTGACTAATTAGCTCGTTTGTACTGAAAGCCCTAATTTTCTAGGGTTTTTCGTTTGGTTTCTGAGTACTGGTGCATCTGATTGTGTTCTAGTCTTGGGTTCTTGTGATTTCCCGTAATTTTCTTGCCCTAATATGCTTTTACTGAATTTCTTAGTTCAACACTTTCACTGATTCTATATGCTTGATCTTTCTCAGTGAATCAGTGTCATTTAACTATATGTTTTGTTCAAATTATGTATCGATTCCTGACTACTCATGCTTTACCTCATTTTATATGCTAAGCATGCTGATTTTTCCATGACTTTCTCTTTGACTGAACCCTTGATTATTTTGAATCCTTTAATCCCTGGTTTAATTTGAATACTTTCCTTTAAACGTTTGATTCTTACCTCTTCACTCAATTTGATTGAATTTTCCTGCCTTAATTGTTTTTCCCTGCCATGCTTATATTCCACTGATTATTTATTGATTTGTTTCCTTAATTAAACTGCTGTGCATTTATCCCTAATTACCTATTCTATACCTAAACTTTACTTGATTCTTTTACTTAAATACCGAGCATATTTTACCGTTGGTTTAATTGTCCTTTGATTAAGGAAAGATCTTGCTGATTTACATATGACTTTCTTGATTTTGCTACTTAATTGATCTCTTACCTTATGTGTCAAGATTCTGATTACTATATAAACCCCCCCTTTATTCTGAGTTCACAACAACAACCATAACAAGAAGACTAGTTCAAAACTCTCTCTTATACTTAAAGCGTTCTGCTCTTTTTTGTTACTTGCTACTTCTATTGAACTAGCCGGCTGTAAGCCAAGGCTAGTTATTGTACTACATTACTCTATACTTTTTGTCTGCTCTCCTTAACTGGTATGTTCTGATTTAATTACAAGTCCAAAGATCTATGTGTCCTCTTACTGCATTAGTTTACTGATTCCTGTCTATCACTTGGCTTTTTGATATGTAACTAGCATGCTTGATCTTGGTTTCACTTAGCATATATGAGTACTACCTATTCAACTTATGACTAACATGTCTGATGACTTGTCTATTGCTTTCTCTAGCATGTCTCAATTTGACTCTACTCCATGTATGATTGTCTGTCTGTTTGTTTACCCAATTCCTAATAGTAATCTACTTTGCTAGGTTACTAACTCCTCCCTAAGTACTTCTGACCCTATGTTCAATTCTACCTAGAATAACTATGTTCTCACTGTTTGTTCTAGCTGTGTAGTTGACTCCTAAATCCCACAAAGAACTCTGAAAAGGAAACTTCTGTGCTCTTGCTGTTACATTAATATGTTATATGTGTCCCCAATTCCCATACTCCCTGAGTGAAATCTTTGTCTGAATGGTGCTGTTTAAATTGTTTGCTGATTTTTCACAGGTTCACTATTTCTTTCAAAACTATTTTATTACTAATCAATTCCTATTTTTATAAAACTTCTTCACTTAATTGAGCCCTTTCCAACACTGTTTTTTCATATCAAAACCATTTCGAAACTAGGTCAAGCACTCTCACATTACTCCTAGAGTATTAGGTTTTGCCCCTCTGGCATGTGTAGTGCCTT